CTTTTCAAATGAGATTATACCATTATCTTTTCAAAGTGCAGATATCATCTGATCATCCCCCAACTTAAAAACCCTTCCATGGTACCCATTGCCTATGGAGTAAAGACCTTCTACCACATGGCCCCTGCCAACCTCTGTGGCCTTCTCTGCTACCTTGCTTCCCCAGGCTCACTGCCAGTCTGTCAGAGCTAAGATTTTCCATGCATACAGCCTCCTGCACAGAGACTCTGCCACTGCTCTGCACTCCCCCTTCACCTTCACCTCCCAGTCTCACTTCTTCTGAAACACTTCCAGCAGGGTCTGTCCCCCTCCTAGAGCACCAGGACGTCTTCTACTTAGCCTCTATCACACAAGCAATTTTATGGTTACTTTAGAAATTATTGACTAATATCTCTCCCCTCTCCCTTTCATGTATGAGCTCCAGGAGAATACGAGTATCATTTTGTCATTGTAGTCACAGTTCACCATTTTACTCCTAGCATTAGCACAAGTCCTCGTACAGAGTTGACACTCACAGTGTATGGTGATGTTAAAAATCTGATTTGTTACCATCATCATTAGAAAAAGCTATAGGGGTGCCTGGGTGGCTCAGTCATTAAGCGTCTGCCTTCAGCCCAGGTCATGATCCCAGAGTCCTGGGATCAAGTCCCACTTCAGGCTCCCAGTTCAGCATGGAACCTGTTTCTCCCTCTGACCCTCTCCCCTCTCATGATGTTTCTCACTCTCTCTCTCTCTCAAATAAATAAGTAAAATCTTTAAAAAAAAAAAAGAAAAAAGCTATAGGGAGATCACTCCATATGGTATCATGGAAGAAGTTCGTGGAATAGTTCTGAAACTACTTCAGTAAGTTTGGTAAATAAGAAATGTAAACAAAAGGATAAGTTAAGATGCCAGAAGTATAAATGCAGATAAAAGGAAGGGCCCCCCTAAGAAGGAAGGAACATTAAGATCAGCTAGGTTCATAGATCTGAAATGAAGCAGGAGGCAAGGCCAATGCCAACTGCAGGTACCCTTTACCATAACAACCATTGAAATGCATTGGGATTTCTGCCTCATTTGTGAGCTCTGCCTCACAGTATCACAACTTCAGAGGGTTCTGGGCATATGCTGACACTTTGTTCTTACCACTGAATGCAATAATGTTTTGTGCAGCTCAGGGTGATGCTCCCTCTGCTAACTTCCTGTCTACATTATCCATCTTTGTAGAAGCTTCTTCCCCCTTTTTTTTTTTAAATATTTTTAGAGCCACAGTTGACCTTGCACAACTTCCATTCCTGAAGATAATTTTACCAATGAAGAATTGGGGCCCACGACAACAACAACAACAACAAAAATAGTTCACTTTCCTGCAACCAAGTCACTGTTTTATACAGAATAAGTCACAGAAGGCCATTTTAAACAATAACTCAGAAACCCAAATATCATTTCACGCATTAAGAATACTTACTCCCCAGGATCTCTATGCTGGCTCACCCCTCACTCCAAACAAAGCATTAATTCTGATGATCTTGCTTCTACTGTTCCACCTACAAGGTGACCGTAACATTTATCATTCAAGTCAGGGCATCTGTGTGAGTGCATGGGACACTACTGATAATTACCTTGAGACAACAGATAAAAACCAGGACAGTCCTGAGCAAGCCAGGATATGTGGGCACATGACCATTATATAAAATTCTTCAGAAAAATCACATTTACAGGTGTTCAGTAAGTAGCGATCATATTTCCTCCTCAAGAGTGGGCTTTGAGGAGCCATTCCCTTTTAGAGAAGAAGGCATCACTCTTGCCTTGCTCCCTCACAGCTCATACTAATATCACTGTGGAACTTGTCTATTTCCAAGCCCACTCTCTGCTATACTTACCTGATAGATACAATCAGGAGGAAGTGATCCAAGAACTAGATGTCACTTTCTTACAAAAAAGACACCTGTGGTGAAGATGTGATACCTTTTCTTCACAAGTTATAGCAGATCATTCACTAGCCTTTGTTACTCTGAAGAAATAATCGTAGGCTTCCTGTTGGACCGTTTTCCATTTCTTCTCCAAAACATAGATCTCTCTCTCCCCCTCTCTCTCTCACGCACGCACACACACACACACACACATCTTTTTTTTAATTCTCGCAAAAAATAAATAAATAAATAAAATAAAAGGAAAAGAAAAAAGCTTAAAACTCCAAGCATAAGGCGAAATCACACTGGGAACTTCTAAGGGTATAGAGCTGAAAGCAAATAAAAACTAGGATTTCCTGGGATTTAGCAGAGTGGGTTGGAGCTAAATTATAGAATCAGTGTTTGTCTGGACCTCTGTCTCTTGAGGGGTTCATGGGCACTGAAATTTAACCAGTATTCAACTACATTGCCCTTAACCACTCCAGTGAGCTGACTTATCTTTCCTGCTGCCATGTTAAAAATATAAAGACCTGCTTACAGGATAATCGATTATAACATTAACCATGTATAGTAGAATAAAGAACATTTTCACCTTTCCTTTCTATCAACTCATACTTTATTATCTCAGGAAGGAAGCTAGACCCAGATGATACTGTCTCAGGCAGGCCTTGGACCATCAAAAGCTCAAATACAGTTGCCTTATTTCCTATTATTCTCCCCTGACTTTTTTTTCACTAATTTGGTACTAGCTGTAACTACATATATACAAAAGAAAGAAAGAAAGAAAGAAAGAAAGAAAGAAAGAAAGAAAGAAAGAAAGAGAGAAAAAAATAGAAAGAAAGAAGAAGAAAGGAAGGAAGGAAGAGAGAGAGAGAAAGAAAAAAGTAGAAAAAAAAGAAAGGAAGAAAGAAAGAAAGAAAAAGAAAAAAGAAAAGGAAGGAAGGAGGGAGGGGGAAGGAGGGGAGGGAGGGAGAAAGAAAAGAAGGAAGAAAGATTGCATAATGTTCACTCAGTATTGTGAGTTTTAGGAGAAATTTTTCAATAGTAACTAAAAGCGTATGAGTGAATGACTGTTAGTGAATTTTATTTCTATTCTTCATGGAAAACCAATGCAGCTTTCAAATATCCAAACTTTCTTGACTGGTTGAGAAGTAGATATAAATAAAGTTCTCCATTCATCTGTGGAGCTTTCTACAATTCCCATCTTATATTGAGCTCTTGAGTTTCACCACTGTGGGACAGTATTTGAACTTTAAAATCTGCCTTCCCCCAAATACAGCAGAATCCAATATAATTCAAAAACATTAAAGAAATAGTCCAGTGAAAACATTTGTTTTAATAATTGGCCAGAGAAAATTTAAAGTAATATTTAAAGGGAAGTTATAAGCTATTTATTATTAAGATGGGTGATTAATTATTAGGCAAAAATTAAACAAAAATATCTAAATGCTAAAATGAGATCCAAGTTGAATATAGGTCAATAGGATAGAGCTCTAGTATCTTTTTTCAATAACTATCATTTTAGTATGTCATAAGATCATACTTTATAGAGTTATGAAGACAAATATGCCCTAGAATACTGCTCTCAGTGATCTTCGAGTCAAAGAAAGGGAATGAGGTAAATGCCATAATATCCATGACATCCAAAAGAATGCAGCCCCATTACCTTTCCTTATTAAATGGTTCTCATGAACATTAAGTGACTCTATATTTGTATAATGTTTAAAACTATGTGATCTATAGTAGTAAACACTATACAAATATTTATTAAGTCAATAAATACATACATACAATCTGTGTGCCATAAGATAGGCACAGGCAAACATGAAAATTGTAGATTGATATAAAAATTGTAGATTGATAACAAATGGTTGAAAAGATCCAGGAAGATTTCATAAAGAAGGGATATATAATGGGTGGAAAAACTGACAACAGAACTTATTAAAGTTACTAAAACAAAAGGAAACACCATTAGTCCAGACATGAACTTGAGATAAATTCGTAAAATCATAAATAGACATAGGAGATGAGTAGAGCTTGCAAGATTTGGCTTTAGAAGTGAATTAGGCAGTAGTGGGATGTAGAGGATGCTTTTGTAATATTTGTTAGTATTGTAATATTTGGTGACACTTAAAGGGAGACAAATCCTTTTTGAAGTAATCAACCCATCTTAACCAGAGTCAAATGTGTAGCTATGTATTGGTAACTAAGAACTATCATACATGACTTCAGCAATGGTTAATATTGCTGCTTTGCTATTCTTATAAGATAAATTCCTTATAAAATAAGGAATACCTATTTTATAAGAAATATTATATACTTATTTTATAAGGAAAAGCTATCAATAGTTTTTTTTGTGGTTTTTTTTGTTTTTTGCATTCAAATTAGCATGTTTAGTGCTCGCTTCGGCAGCACATATACAAATTAGCATGTTTAGCCTTAAAGCTGTTGACTAAAGAACGGTCAATCTGTTTAGCCAACAGTTTCATAGAACCATCTCCTTTCTCACTCCTTTCCACATCAAGTTTATGGAGAAACACCTAATGGAAAATAAAGGGTCAACTCTAATTTCTTCTCTTAGAGATGAATTTCTCTTTCTATATTCTATCTCCAGCTCAGACTCTCTACTGGTTGACTGGGAGCTGATTGAGGGCAGAGTCCATTACATCTGTCCCTGTAGCCTCAGAATCTAGCCCAGCATCATATAGTAAATCCTTAACAAACTGTGGCTTAGGTCGGCTTGATTGGATTGGATTGAGTTGGGTTAGATTGGATTGGACCCAAGTGAATAAGATGTCAAACATTTCCCTTGTTCTTATAATTTTTAAAACAATTTCTTATTTGGGTATAGAGTGAAAATACATAGAGTATTTTTATCTATTATATATCTTAAATGGTCCCTCTCTATCATCAGTTATTACAAGCTCCTTTGTCTATAGACTACTGTAAAAAGCCTGTATCCAACCGATTAGATTTGATTAGAAAACTAAATATGAATTCATCATGGTAGGCTGATAAATTATAATGAATGAATTCCATCAAGGGGTATTACTTAAAGTAAAACTAATTGAAAGTGAAAAGCTTTAAATAAATGCTGTTTAAAAATAGCTTATCATGTAGATGTTGTTAAAACCTTGTTGTATCACAAATCTAGAGATGCAGATAGCCTTCTTGAAGAAATATATGAGACTTTTGGTGTAATTAGTTCGCTTTAAGAGACAGAAAAAAAACCTAACTTACCATACACCAAACTGATAGAATAACTGAGTACATTTACATATTTGCATCATGGATACAGATCTTGAAGTATAAATAATATGCCACATTGAGTTGCTAAGCAACTCTTTCTACCAGGTAGCAAAGTTTTTCCTTAAAAGGACAGTCTTACAACAAAGGAATGAGCTGCAAACTCCTGATTTTTAACCAATACTGTTTAAATCCACACACCTTGAATGAATGAAAATTCTAATAGTTCCTTGTAAATGAACAGCTCGGTGTAGCTCTGTCACTTTATTCATTCATTTACTATATATAACACAATTAAAAAGTGATTTAGAGCTAAGGTAGCAAAGGGGGAACTTTTAAATTTTATATCTTTCTAGTTATTATCTCACACAATGATTGGGAAAGTCTCACTGAAAATCATATTTGGCCTAACACAAAATAGACCATATTATTTGTAACTGAAGACATTTCTTAAGAGGTTTTCAGATATGTAATTCAACATAGAGTGTCTAGAATCTGCATGGTTATGCTTTCAGCTCTCATGTATTGATAAAATTTATTCTTTATGAGCTAGCTGATACTCGGGGGGAAAAAAGTGTATGTCCTTTATTCCCATTGATTCTCCTTTTGCTGTTTTCTATCTTAGTGGATATAACTAAGGAGTATTCTGTTGAATTGTTGCAATTAAGTCATAAGGGGGAAACAAAGCCTTTTTCTTCCAGACTTTATAAGACCTTGGAGACTATGAAGATATGAGGATTGTTTTTCCAAATGTAAAACAACGGGATAGGCAAGACATAAAGTGGTACCTACCAAATGATTTTATTTATGTCACATTCAGAAACAGACACAATTAATATTTGGTCCAGTTAAGATAGTTACTTACCCTTGGGGTCAGACTTCTGGGATGCTAGTGAATGGTGTGTGTCTGGATGTGGATGCTGGTTACATGAGTGGGGTGAGTTTGTAAGTATTCACTAGCTATTCATTTATCCTTGGGGTATATGCTATACCTCAATAAAAAGCCCAAATCACCATAAATAAAACAACAGAAATGAAAAGCATTCAGATTTCCTTTTCCTCATTCCAATAGTATATTCTAAAGGGGCTCATATTAGTTACAAACCACAATAGTTGTGTTGTCCCAAATCATAGGCCTGGTTAGCAGCATAACCAGCATTTTGGATCTTCTGCTTCCCTATCTTGTGATTTATTTTTTTCCCAGTCACAAGCTGTGCTAACTTCTGAGGCCCATGACAGCCTGCTGGCAGGAAGCCTGTTAACCTTTCCCTGTGAACTAACACTGTTTGCCATGTTAACAGGCGAGTTGTGTGAGGAGAAGCTGGACTTCTGTGCCCAGGACCTGAACCCCTGCCAACACGACTCCAAGTGCATCCTGATGCCAAAGGGATTTAAGTAAGTCAGAGCTGTCTGGGGCTCACAATGCGGGACACTGTTTTTCTTCAGGGAACTGTCTTCCTCACCTTCCTTTTAGGACCTCACTTCACACCTTTGCTCAGGATGAAAGGAACATCCTCCAGTGTCAGTGGCATTTTTTTAAATGTTCCTATACAGCATGGACTTTTTTTTTCTTTTTTTTAGTACAGGAAAGAAAATAAAAGACAGCATTTCCATTTGTTTCCTGGCTCTTCCTGGGAAGTCATGCATGAAATAAAGTAGCTTTGACTGTGTTTACTTAAATGTATTTGAAAGCCAAATAAATTTGTAATATATACTAGGTGCTTAATTATCTGAATGTGAGTTTGTGGTAAGTAGGAAGTTTAATTGAAAGAAACTGAGATTTTTTTGGCCAGCACCAATTCTTAACTATCCAAGGTGAGGAAGGTGGAGGGACCGACCATATGTCCCAGGATGCCCGGGGACAGTCCCAGTTTATGCTTATTGTCTCAGCATTGTTATTAATAGTACCCCTTTCACCTTACATTTGTCTTGTGTGGGATGATAGAGCAGTCATTCTAGATAGAGGGCTCCCTCAAGTAAACCCAGAACTTTAAAATTACTTCTTTTTCCTCCTCAGTAATCTTCCTGAAATATGTTTGGTATCAAATTAAATTATTCCTTTGCCACAATCCTGAAATAGTTTAAGGGTCTATCAACAGCAACTTCTCTTCTTAGAGTGGACAGTAGTTTAGAGATCATCTGGTCCAAATTCTTCATTTTAAACATGAGGAAAACAGGACCCAGACAGGTTGGTGGCTGTCCAAAGATCTCAAGGTTATTCATTGGCAGACGTGGGAGCTGGGTTTTCTATTTCCCAGTTGGGTGATTTTTCGAATACAGGTTACCTCTAAGATGTTTTGTAGTTTATTAACATTACTGTTGGTTTGTTATAGAAGGTAAGTTGGATTCTCAGGAATGACACAACTGGGTTCAAGAGTGGAGATGTGCTCATATCAGACAACTAGCAAATAGAATGATTTTTTCTTTTACCCAGTATTGATTGAGCACCTACCATGGGTCAGGGTACGTGGTAATACTACCATCTTATGTAGTGTTTTATAGCTACTCACATTCACATACTTTATCTTCTCAGTGAAATGACCCAGGCATAATTGCCATAGGATTCAAAGAATTAAAGATTGCTTGGGTGGGGAACAGTTTTATAAGATGGGAATTGAGCTGGAACTCTAACATTTTGATAGTTGTCCACAGATTATCAGATACTCTAAGTTGAATGGGAGGTAGGGTCAGTATCTCCAGACCTGCTTTTCAGAGATCAATCTGAATAAAATGCTTATTCTCATTTTATTTACAGAATATTTTTTATTCACTTTGGTTTGAAATATGGTTTTAGAATATGCAACCACAGTTCTAGAATATACAAATACAGGGGTGCCTGGGTGGCTCAGTCGGTTAAGCTCCAACTCTTGGTTTCAGCTCAGGTCATGATCTCACAGTGGTGGGATGGAGCCTGGCGTCAGGCTCTGCACTCAGCATGGAGTCTGCTTCTGATTCTCTCTCCCTCTCCCTCCCTCCCTCCCTCCCTCTTTCCCTCTCTCTCAAATAAATAAAATCTTAAAAAAAAAAGAATAAACAAATATAGTTCAGTACCCACTGATTCCATTTGATACCTTATTGAAAAAGAAAAGAATATCTTTGATTCTACTTTCCATTATATTTTAGTTTACAACCCTATGCAAAAACCGGAGGTCTTACTAAAATATTTATTTATACAAGATTCTGCATTGCATTTTGTTCATCCAAGTACTGAAGGTAAATTATTTTAACTCCTAATGTCTTTGATCTGCCCACAATTGAATTTAGCAAAATGAAAATCCACCACTTACCAAAAAAAAAAAAGAAAGAAAAAAGGAAAAAGAAAAAAAAGGAAAAGCCACCACTTACATACATAACAAATATTATCATTTCTCAGAGAAATTCATCAGGAAAGCAAGTGGTTTTCCAGAACTGCTTATCTGCCATGCACATGCCACAGGGCTTTGTGCATCGTAATTATAAGATAAAGAATCCGTAGAACTTAAAGGAAACTATTAAAAAATAAGGGAGTTTGTCTTCAAAAAGACTACTCCTTAATTCAGTATCTTCTCTTTACCATCGATTAAATTACACACGCAGAAGTGCATCTTACTGGCTTATGGGCAAGCTGATTTGGACACCCATTATTTTCAGCAATAACTTGTGAGCTTGTTTTATAGCTGTATTAGTTTAGCAGAACTCAGGTAAAGTCACGGTGTATGCTGTTACTCTCATATTATAAGCAACTGCACATTTTGAGAGAGGGAGTTGCAAAAAAGAAAATGGGCTTAAAGTCCAAAACTATATGAAGCTGCTAAAGAAACCTCTACTGACAAATGTTGTTTGGACAAACTGTACTGTTTCTTCAAATTCATTTTCTTATTACTAAGCTAACAGAGCTGGTTTTACTTTTCTTGCTTTATTATATACCTCATAAATCTCCTAAATTACTTTGAGATATTTTTAGATCGTGATTTGCCATAAGCAGTATTTTCAAGCATGCATCTTTCTTAGTCAGCTGTTGGGCTTTTCCACCGAATAACTTATACTTTTTGCTTTCTTCCTCACTCCTTGGCAGATAATAGAGTTGAGGGAGTGGGAGAGGTTTTATTGATAATACAAACCTTAAGGAATTCTTAATTAAATATTTTCTTCTGTTTTGAAATTTGATCTGAGGAGTAAGAGAAAGACAAAAAAAATGGTGGTCATAACGTGACTCCAAGTTCTAATGGGCTTGAAAAATAGTATTTGTTGAGAAGAGAATATAAAATAGCTCTTAGCCACTGGTGGTGAGTATGTGGTTCTCTTATCTTTTACTTTGATTTCTTTTCTCAGATAAATAATTCAGAGTGTTTCAAAGCATTTCTTCTTTCTTTTAATGCCTGGCATTTCAGTGGTTCTGCTCACATTAACATTGATGGAAGCTCTCTCCCCAGACTTTGTCCATCTATTTGAGGACGTATATGGCCACTTAAGATCCATTTAACTTCAGATGTGTTGTTTACTTTGCTGTGTTATGATTTAGTATTAAAACCACTGGCTCTCGAGCAAGCATGCTTCTGCAGTGAGCTCATTTTATTTCCTAATTCATACATGCAGAGCTGAAAGTCTGTTCTCCTTAGAGGCTATATACCCCCATTTATTTTAATTCATCAGCCCTCTGGTAACTCTTAAATCCTGATTTTGCATTTTTCAGAGAAAACCCTTGGTGTTCAGTAATGTCCACATTCACTTCGGCATTTTTAATTATCCTCGTTCATTTAAATCCTAATGGCTTTGAAATAGAAAACTGGAAAATTAGTCAAGACTAAACCACAAAGACTTTTATAGAATTATGAAGACTTAATAGAATTATTGTTTAAATCCTTACCATTTATTGATCATGCATTATATATCAAACCACTATACTGAGTCTTTTACAGATATTGTTTTATTTAATCTTTTAACAAACCCATGAGATGAAAATTATTTTGTACCGTGAGGAAGATATGAACACCTAGGTTTAAGTAAAGTTAGTCAGGATTGCATAAATGTAGAGATGAAGCCAGGATATAAACCCAGTTCTGTGTAACTGCAAAGTCCAAATTCTATAAAGCTTTAAATAAACTGTAGGTTCCTGGTTTGTTTGTTTTTCTAGAGTCAGTGAGCCCTCTCTTAAACCCCAAACAGAAATGCTCATGGAAGCCCAACATGTAAAACTAATAAATCCAACAGGAGAGTGTTGCAGGAGAAAGGAGGGAAGCAGGAAGCTGCCAAAAGCCTCCTTCCCTTCTCTGGTCCCTTATCGCTCCTCAGAGCATCCTTTGAAAACCACTGCACCTGACACACTGCTTTTTCCTCCAGCAACTATAAAGTGCTTCATCCTTCAGTGGTTAGAAATCCAGGCTCTCTTGCCAGATTGCTTGGGTTTCCTACCTGGCTGTGGCACTTACAAGTTGAATGCCCTTGGGTAAGGTCCTTAACCAGTTTGTCCTTCATTTCCCTCATATGTCAAGTGAAATAGTGGACCCTGAAGAAGGATTCAACGAATCCATGACCCTGGAGAAGGATTCAGTGAATCCATGTATGCCAAGTGGTTAGAACAGGGCATGGCACGGAGGATGCGCTCCAAGAACGTCAGGTGTATATTATCTCTGGTTCTTCACCATCAATGCGGCTGGGACCCCTTCTTCCCTTCTGCCCCTAGAGTAAACAAACAAGCTCAGAGCTGTCAGTGGAATTGACCCCAGGCATTTTTTAATTTTTTTCCCTGTCCTACTCCATTAGGTCAGCCCAGCTCTGACATAATGATTATCTGGATTCATTATGAATTAGGGTGTCCAATGTTGACATAAATTTTTTTTCATAAAATTCTATTTTATTCCAATACATCCCTTCTCTATGAGAAAACAAAAACATTAATTATTTTTAAAATATGTTTAATATTCTTAGTAAATTTTACAACATAGCATTTTTTTTTTTTTTTTTTTTGGTTTCCACTGCTCAAGGGAATCAGAGCAAATGAAAACAGAGAACACTATAGGCAAAAATAGTGGGGACAGAGGGAGGGAGGGGAGAGAGGATAGAGGAGGGAAGGAGAGAGAGGAAGGGAAGGAAGGTGGAGGAGGGGGGAAGGAAGAGGGAGGGAGGAGGGAAGCAGAAAAGCAAACATGATAGGGAGAAGGAAAGAAGGAAGGATGGGTGGGAAGGAGGAATACAGGTGCAATTCTGTGCTCATTGGGATTGTGGATGCTCACTATCATCAGAGTCCTAACCATCCCTCTGAAAGATCACAGTGAGAAATCATGGAATAACTTTTCTAGGCATCCATTAATTTCAGGGCTCTATCAGTCTGTTCACGTGAGTTTTGCATTTTTTGCTTTCATTTTCACTTATTTGTATTGAAGTATAGTTGACACACACCTACAGTGGTTTTAGGTGTACTCAGTAAGTTTGTAAAGACAGTGCCCATTTTTCTAGATGAAATGCAACCCTTTTACTTACTTTGGCTCAGTTGGGTGTGAAACTATTTACGTGCTTGCTCAAACAGGTGCGACTGCACACCAGGATATGTGGGTGAGCACTGCGACATTGACTTTGATGACTGCCAAGATCACAAGTGTAGAAACGGAGCCCACTGCACGGATGCAGTGAATGGCTATACGTGCATCTGCCCCGAAGGTTACAGGTAAAAGTAGAAACAGAGGTTTGTATTTAGAGTTCAGTCTCACAGAAAGGCTTCAACTCATCTCGGCAATTAAGTAAAAACAATGTGCTATTGCTCTGTTTTCTTTAGTGGCCTGTTCTGTGAATTTTCTCCACCCATGGTCCTCCCTCGAACCAGCCCCTGTGATAACTTTGATTGTCAGAATGGAGCCCAGTGCATCATCAGGATAAATGAGCCCATCTGCCAGTGTTTGCCGGGCTACCAGGGAGAGAAGTGTGAAAAGTTGGTCAGCGTGAATTTTGTCAACAAAGAGTCTTATCTTCAAATTCCTTCAGCCAAGGTCCGGCCTCAAACGAACATCACCCTACAGGTAAGCTGTGCCCCCGGGAGCAAGAGCTGATTTCATCCTAAACCACCTTCAACTTCAAATCATCAACATCAATGGTAGTTCATGAGTGATTCTTTCTTAAAGAGACAGTTCCCATCCTCATAACACAAAGAAAATGCTGTGTGAAGAGCTCTAGTTATTCTTCTCTCCAACATTTGTGTTTTTCAAAACTACAGGGGAACCAGGTATTTTTATTCACTACTTGATTGTGAAACACAGAGAGAACAACAAAACATGTTTTGTGCTCTGGTGAATGGGGCAGGGGCTCTGCAAGGGGTGGGGGCTTTTCTTAGGAGACCTGCAGGTAAGGAGAGCACAGGTGAGACCACACCTTGACAAAATATTCAGCCAGCGCCTTTGAACTCTTTACGCAGAACCTTTAAGAAGTGACATGAGAGGGACGCCTGGGTGGCTCAGTTGGTTAGGCGACTGCCTTCGGCTCAGGTCGTGATCCTGGAGTCCCGGGATCGAGTCCCGCATCGGGATCCCTGCTCAGCAGGGAGCCTGCTTCTCCCTCTGACCCTCCCCCCTCTCATGTGCTTGCTCTCTCTCATTCTCTCTCAAATAAATAAATAAAATCTTTAAAAAAAAAAAAAAAGAAGTGACATGAGGGCACCTAGGTGGCTCAGTCTGTTAAGCGTCTGCCTTCAGCTCAAGTCATGATCCCAGGGTCCTGGGATTGAGCCTACTCAGCCAGGAGTCCGCTTCTCCCTCTGTTTCTCTGTTCCTCCCCCCGGCTTTGGTTCTCTCGCTCACTCACTTTCTCTCTCAAATAAAAAATCTTAAAAAAAATAAAAGTGACATGAATTGAACAAACTCAAATGTTATTGTAAGACTTTTCACCAAGTCACCTGTCCCTTTGAGCAAGTTAGTCAGACCCGTGCCGAGGAGGCGAGACTAGGTGAGGAGTTATGAATTCAGGACACATGGGGCATATTGGGGCTGCATGTTTTTGTTTTTTTTTTTAATCTGGTAAGAAAAATATTTTAATGTATTTTGAATTCAAATGACTTTAGCAGATTTCCTATAGATGCCACCCCTTATTTGGTTTACCCTGACACCCCAGTGTCATGAGGAATGGGACTCAGGAAGACAGGCAGGCTTTCTTTAAAAAGCCTGTCTCCCTCCCTTCCAACATTTGCCTCACCAGATTGTTACAAGAAGTACCTAGCGGGGTTCAGGTGTAAGTCCCAATTTTTAACAAATTGGTCCTTTAAAAGCCCAAAAAGGCCAAAAAGCCGGAGAAAAACAGAGATTTTCCCCTGTTCATGCCCTCACAGTGACGAATAGGAGCAAAAAGACCAGGTAAATGAAAATCTCCAGCAGAGAAAGTTTTAGGTACGTCCCAAGGTGTTTCCTTAAGTATCTGTTACTGGTTTTGTTTTTTAATTCTTTATGAACTTATCGCATCAAAATAACTTAGGAACAGGTCACCTTTCAAGTCCTCATTTCCGTCTACCTTGCATTATTACTTTCTCACAGCATAAGGGAAAAATCAGCTAAGAGTAAAAACCCTGCACTGAGCAGTCTGGCTGCTTTTTGGTGACTGTGCATCCTGCTAACGTCAGGGTTACTTCCTACCAGATTGCCACAGATGAAGACAGCGGAATCCTCCTGTATAAGGGCGACAAGGACCATATTGCCGTCGAACTGTACCGGGGACGGGTCCGCGCGAGCTATGACACCGGCTCACACCCGGCTTCTGCCATTTACAGGTGAAGGTCTCTCAGTTACTGGTAGAGGTGAAAAGCGGTTCAGTGAGAAGCCATGGCTCCTCTGTTATTCTGTAATGGCGAGCGGAGGGAATAATTGGGCCATAGCAGCCGTTATGATAAGTGTATTACTTACGGGCCTGGCAGGAACAGATGTCATGCTCAAGTTGGATAATGGAGGAGAGAGTCTCAAGGGAAATTCTTATAAAGACTGTTAGCGTACAGTAACTGGGGGGCCAGTAACGAGGGATACAGCTACTCCCCTCCCCATGCTTGAAGGGGTGAGTGGGGGCAGCAGTTATGGAAATCCATGCTCAGAATAGGACTTGTGTCTCCGACTGCCTGACAGCCGCTGTGACCTTCAATGAAGGGATGAAGTCAGTCCTCAGAGAAGGCACCGGGGTTTTAAATATCCAACCTCACTCTTCTTCTGCCCGACAAGGCCCTGCCCGGGCTCCCCTTTGACCAAATCGGATTCCAGAAAAAAAGGAATCTGCTGATTGCAATAATATAATTTGCTCATGAGCCTCCCAGGGCCCAAAGCAGGGTGAAGACAGGTGGAGAGTAGCTCTAGAGAAGAACCTGCAAGATACCCAGCACAGTGAGTCATTTAACATTACCTTTCATGCAACGCATATTTACTGAGCACCTACTATGTGCCAGGCATGGATCCAAGCTTTAAGGAACAAAGACCTTGCTCTTAGGGAGATTATACAGAAGAAGCCAATGGACACATACAGTATGTGATCGGTAATGTTATTTAATTTGTAAGTTTTCTAATAATGTAATAAGATTGATGATACTTTGAAGTTATGAAAGGAGTGGTATTCATGGGACATAAATTTTGCTGGAAATGTGCTTTTGGCATAAGATTAACCTTCAGAGCCCTCTGTTGGATCTCAACACCAATTCACCATCATCTTACACCAAGTTACCTAGTTTACTTATCCACCTGTAGAAGTAACTGACACCAGTTAGAGCAAGGTCACCAAGTCATATACGGTCAGTTTCTTTTCAGGCAGGTAGCTTAAATAAACTAATCAGGCCAGTTGCTAGAGAAGAATATGTTCTCATCATTTGACTCTTGAGAAGATCTAACTTTTTAAGTTACATTGAGGTTGGTAACATAATAGTAGCCTTTGTGTCTGGAGTGAACTAAAAGCAAACTTTTGTCAAAACAGGGCCAGACTGCATCCACCCAGTTCTCCCTGAATGCTGCCATGGGAAAATGTGGGCCCCAGCTTTACCAGAACACTTATTTTTGAAGGAAAGGCATAAATCTGGATTTTTTTTTAATATAAAGTATTCCGTCCTTTGAGTATTGATTGACATTTTTGTTAAATACCGTATGTGGTGAACAAAATGCATCTGTAAGCCAAACATGATCGGCAACAAATTTCGGGGCATTGACTTGGACATAAAGTTGGAGAAACTGGCCTCTACGTTATTGACGTATGTACTGATGTGCTTCAAAAGCCTTCTCATCCTATTTGAGACTTTATAACAGTTCCAGGAAAGTAGATGCCAATTGGTGAGTCCTTTTGGTGGTGAGCTAACCCACTTGGGAATATATAGAGCATGGAAACAAACACATAATTACTGGTTTCCAAATGGAATATGAATTTCATCTCCAAATGGTGATGAATTAATGCCAACATTTTAGATATTGCTAGGCCTTAAATTATGTAGCCTCAATTTGTTTCAGCCCATCAAAAAGTTTCAGAAGATTGATTTTGTGCTCCTTTTTTTTTTTTTTTTTACTTTTTTGTTCTATTGTATGCAACGGAAGAGCATAGAACTCTCTGAAATCATAGTAAAGGTTCTTGAGGTTGGCTTATTAAAGTTAGTGTTCACATAAAATATACTTAAAATGTTTCTAGATAAGTTGTAGAAACCCACATGGTTATATCACAATGAGAAGTTACCATAAAGAGCTTATTTTGAGTTTTGAGTTTATATTCTTACCATTTTTGCTTAACAAACAGTAGAGCATACCATGGGATGTTTACAAAAAAAGAATAATATCACATGGTACACTTTTCATTATGAACCAGAAGTCCACTTCTCTGTTTGCAGATCATCTAATGGAGACATCTTGGTTTATGGTTTATGGCACAGAAACCAAGAAAAGTCATCACATTATTTTTAAGTAAAAGAAAAGTAGCAATTACTTGGACTCAGGTAGAGAGATGATTGATTGATATGGATTATGTATATAAAATGTGCATATTACATATAGAGAGATATAGATATATTCATACACCATTATGGAATAGAAAAAATGCTTCTTCGAAATAGAAGCTATAGAGAACAATTAAATTATTTCAACACACTAGGAGATTTAACCTTTGACAAGTAAAAAAACATAGTGGCTAAGATATGTTTTCAGATCTAGACTTGGCCAATTACTAGTGGATAAACGTGGAGCAGATACTTAATCTTTCTGTGACTCAGAAATCCTGTCTATAAACAATAATACAGCACATACCTGGTTAGGTCCCTCTGAGGATGAAATTCCAAACTCAGCTCCATGCTCATTTCTCCACTCACATTGTCCTCATTCTAGCAAGGCAGGAAGATTTTTCTGGTATCTCTTTCTGGAGTATAGCAGAGGACTTGAAAGTGTATCTTCTAGCCTTATACCATAACACGAGAAGTACAGATTGTTTACAATGTCTGTAGAGCGCCGTTTGAAAATAACTATCCAGATTACAAATACATTTACTCCCTGACCTATGAAATCCCCCTTCTGGGAATTTATGCTACAGATGGACCTGAAGATAATTGATATGTGCACACGTACTCACTGTGGCATTGCTTGTAAAAACAGAAGTTAGGAAACAGCCCAAGTTTCTATCTAAATAAACTATGGTACATCCACACAATGGAATGTACTGTTAAAAAGTAAAGAGAAGGAGGGAGGGAGGGAGGAAGGAGGGGGAGGAGGAAGTTCTCTATCTAAGTTACTGGAAGATTTTCAAGGTATATTGCTCAGTTGAAAAGGAAAAAAAAAGGTGAAACATTGTCAAAGGTGGATAAATATATATTTTTTTATTTTTATGTATTTGCATAAAGAAAAACTAGGAATAGAGAGGAAGGAGTGGGGTGGAAGCAAGATTTGTATATGAATACCACTTTACATCATTTTGATTTTTGAACCATTTGAATGTCATTAGCACTCAAAACGAAAATTGAATAGGGGCGCCTGGGTGGCTCAGTCGGTTGAGCGGCTGCCTTGGGCTCAGGTCATGATCCCGGGGTCCTGGGATGGAACCCTGTGCCGGGTTCCCTGCTCAGCAGAGAGCCTGCTTCTCCCTCCCCCTCTGCCTGTCTCTCTGCCTACTTGTGCTCTCTCTCTGTCTCTCTGTCAAATAAATAAATAAAATCTTTAAAACAAAAACAAAAACAAAAATTGAATAGAAAAGAGCAGATGCTCTAAAGACAGCCTGCCTTGATTCAGGTCTCAACTCTGCCATCGATTCACTGCGTGCCATGAGTAAATTGCATCAGCTCTCTGGGCCTCACCTGGCAAATGGGTATAGTAAATCACACTTCCATCTTTGTACGATTGTAGTAAGAATTTTATGATTTGATACACGAGAAAATATTTAGAACAACACATACCAAATATTAAACAATGCTAGCTATTAGTATCATAAAGTTAGAATGTCCAAAATGGAGTTCATTTCCTTTGCTTCACCCAAACCCATGTCCCTGTCACATTCCTAATTTCATTGAGAGGCAGCACCATCTTCTTGGGCACAGAAGTGTAATGGGAGTTATTCTTACTCTTTTTCTTTCCTTTACCTCCAACTTGAAATTTGTTCCAAGTCTTAACTCTGCTCCTACTGTTTTCTGGTATTTATTCAAATGCCTCTGACCTTGCTCAGGACTTACTAAAATGTGACCTCTGATGACAGGTATTACCTCTCCATCGTTATGGAGAAACCCATCAATAACATGTTGCCATCAGCTTCCCATAAATTGCTTAATAATTATTATGTTTGGTTGAATTAAATGTTCGGATCTTGATGTGTTTCTGCTTTACATAACATTATTAAAAGTACACTAGTATTTTAAAAGGGAGTATTTTTACATATTCTTACACCAGAGAATTTGTTCAGTTTAATGGCATGATTTTATGTTATATAACATTGACTTTAGTGAAAACTCATTTTCCAAATTGCATTATTTAATGTGCTGTTGGAAAATTGCTTATGGGAATAATTTTGTGTATCAGGTTGTCTTTTCAGTTGCCTGGTTACTCTTCAACATGGATGGAAATGGATTTTGTTTATTTTAGTAAATGAAATCTGATAAAATTAGGGGAAAATAATTCTACATTAAGTTAGTTCTGTATGTTTTTTTTATTTTTTATTCTTTTTGTTTTTTAAAAGGCTTCATTTTAGATGTCGGTGTGTTAAATGAATTGACGTGAGAACCATTATTTCATGGAATTATGTCTAGAGAGAGTACTTAACACAGCTTTAAGTGTGTTTAAGAGAACCCAAGATGTAGTAATTATTCCTTCTTCCCAGAATTGAAGTAGCATGTGCACATTTTCTCATTTTATTTCTTCTATCTGACAGAAGCCCAACATTTCTTACAGACCTGCATACTGCTCACAAGGCCAGCTCTGCAGGCAGTGGTGAGAAGCTATTGTTTTCCAATAACGTGCATCAAAATCACCCGAAAAGTGTGTTAAAGAACAGATGACTGGTCCACCTCTCGTTTCTGATTCAGATCTTGGATGAGCCCCCAAAGTTTCATTGTTACAAGTTCCCAGGTGATGCTCTGGTCAAGGGAGCACAATTTGAGAACCACCTGTAGAAAAGGAATATATTTGAGCTGTGCTCTGAGAGCCCATGGTGTGCATCTCTTCCCATATCCAAATTCCAAGACCTCATGCTTGAGGTTGGCCTTGAAACCAGCCCTGCTGGGAATACGTCCACCACAGAAGTCCGCAAATGCTCCAAGTCCGGGCTCTTTTTCTTATCTCAGAG